TCTCAGCCCGTACGCCTGCCTTCCACCACCACCAGGGACCCAGCAACCCCTAAGTCCGCACAGAGCTCCATTGCTGGACTCCACCTCCGATCTTCTCTCGGTGCTGAGCCAAGAGGAACGCGAACTGATTGAGCCAATGGTCGCCTTGGGTTATCCGATCCGCCGAGCGATCCTTGCCCTGCAGAAGACTGGGAGACAAAGCTTGGGACAGGTCAGACAGAGCTAGGACCGGGGTGAAATCCAGCAGGTTCTGACCGGTTCTGGAGAACCGGTAGCAGAAATTTTGAGTCGTTTGGAGAACCAGCAAATATCACCTTTGGCTGGCCCCAGAGTGGGAAGGGAAAGGGGATTTTACAGTATCCTTCCCCTGCCATGCCCACCAAGCCACGCCCAGAGAACCGGTAGTAAAAAAACTTGAATTTCACCACTGGCTAGGACTGGTTCTCTTACCAAACAGGAGGCCACTTTCTTGGTGCCAGGCAAGGTACATCCTCTCCAAGGTGATACAACATTTCCAGTACTCTGTAAAAAGTAGAAAGAACGATGAAGTTCTGCAGAGGATTTGGGGTTTTGAGGCTTTCCCCTCTCCAAATAAGACGGGGCCAAATCCCCCCCCCTCGCTTCAAAGCTGGGGAAGATGCTTCCAACAAGTTCTAGAAAATTGGGCTAGCTCTTCTCCTTAGTGAAGACTGTCAATGATCTTTCATTCAAGGGAGCAGCTTTTATTTGCAAATAAATACTTCAGTAAGGTAAAAGTAAAGGTTTCTCTTGCACATATGTGCTAGTCGTTCCTGACTGTAGGGAGCAGTGCTCATCTCCGTTTCAAAGCCAAAGAGCCAGCGCTGTCCTAAGATGTCTCCATGGACATGTGGCCGGCATGACTAAATGCCGAAAACGCATGGAACGCTGTTCCCTTTCCAACAAAGGTGGTTTCTATTTTTCTACTTGCATTTTTTACCTGCTTTTAAGCTGCTAGTTTGACCAAAGCTGGGACAAGTAACGGGAGCTCACTTAGTTATGTGGCGCTAGGGATTCGAACCACTGAACTGCCAACCTTTCTGATTGACAAGCTCAGCATCTTATCCACTGAGCCACCTTACAAATAAATGCTTACTTACAAACAAATACTAACTTACAAATAAGCCTGCATCCAAAGGTCGGCTTCCCCAAATATTGCCTTCACCAAGTCATTGTTTTGATTACGTGATTTACATTTATGCTTATTATTTGTATTAGCAACTTCCAGAAATTTCACCCAGTGTAAAATTTCTGGAAGTTTCATGCTTCCAGAACTGGAAGCCTGTAGAACTGACCGTTTCATTTTTCCTTCTGCTGCCATGCAACAAAATGAAAATGGTTCAAGGTCAAATCATTTTGACCCTTATCACCCTTTGCATGCTCCTCAAAAGGATACCCATCCCTCTTAATGAAAAACAAATATGAAAGCAAAATTGCAATTAGGCGGAGAAAAGCCAAGCTCACTGAACAGTTGTACGCTTTGGCTGTATTAAAATTTCTCTTCAGCCTTCAAATAATTACTCCTCTCCAATATCAACATCACTTATTTTCCATGGTCCATAACTGGAAACTCTTTATTTGTATTAGCTTCCATTTGAACTCCAGGTTTGTCCCCCTCTAGAGTCATTCGAGTTTAAGGCCCATTTTTAATCCCCAATTCCCAAAATGAGACACTTGTGCGTTTCCTCCTTGCAGACTTATCCACCAATTTTGGGACTGAGGGTGGAGTTGAGTCTCGGGGCCTATTGCTGAGTCCCTTCACTAGCTGTACCCATGTCAGACCTGGAAGAACGTACTGTTTCCACCAAAATTGTTTTTTTAAAAATAGGACAGAGGCTTTCGCTGGCCAATCACGGATTCCCAAGGGATGAACGGCTGCTGTGGTATTTCAAATGCTCTGGAGAACTATGCCGTCAGATCTCCAAGAATAAAGTCAAAAAATAATTTTAGGCTTTTCCATTACAAGAGTCCGTTTCTCAGGCATATCAGAAGGGGGCTTTGGGGTGGTGAGTTAGGCTGTCTTTGATCTGGAGAGTTATCTAATCAGCCAGGCAGCCTTAGTCCCAGCGGTGCTTTTTGAAGAGGTAACTGGACCTTCTTTCCTTGAAGACGTTTCGCTTCTCATCCAAGAAGCTTCTTCAGCTCTGATTAGATGGTGGGGAATAGCAGGATTTATACTCCTTGCAGACAGCTGGTCGTTCAAATTGTTTCAGAGAGTGGTTAAGGTCACCTGGAGATTTGACCAGCTGTCTGCAAGGAATATAAATCTATCTGTTCCCCATCATTCAGTCAGAGCTGAAGAAGCTGAGAAGCGAAACATCTTCAAGGAAAAACCAGAAGGTCCAGTTGCCTCTTGAAGAAAGCACCTTTGGGACAACCAGGACCTGAAGGACTGAGACTCTCCATAGACAAGCAGCCTTAGCTTTGTCCAAAATCTTTACACTGAAAAACTGAACAAAATCTGTAAAGAGTTTGCATGTGCATTACAGGAAGCAGTGATTAGATTTATATCAGCAAATGTTCCGGTCTTGAGATACCTCTCAGTAGACATATTTTAAACCTTAGTCCATGTGGGTGAACCTTGCCAAACATGGCTTATTCAACAACTGAAGATTAATTTGACAGATGAGCACAGCCTGTGATGTATGAAAAGCTTGCAGCTTTTGTGATACCACTGCACCACTTTAAAAGCTTCTGCAAGCTTCTTCCTATGGTTGCTTTAGCCTTTCTCCCCACCGGTTAAAATTTTGCACAAAGACCAAAGGTTTACTTTACACGACCCCGATGGTGAAATCCTGGAGTTTTGCTTCAGAAATTCAAGGCTTACAAATTGTTTCTCCATTGCCAGCCATGAATTGTGTGTATCCTGATTCTGCTGGTTCAGATATCCTGCATTCAAGATATATAATATTTCAAAGATATAATGCACTTCATGGGGTTTTTTACTGCTAAAACAAGACAAAAGAGACTGATGACACCTTGAAGTCTAGAAAGAAATTTATTAGTTGGCAGTTGCAATCGTGTGCATGAAGTCTTGCTCTAAATCTTGTTTTAAATTATTCTCTTAATCCTAGGAAGAAGCCAAGGGCAACTCACCTCCAAAATTATTGCCAATAAAACCATAGCAGCAATCCACACTGACTTGAAGGCCAAAAAATATGTTCCAGGAAAGAAGTATTTTATATCCATTATATACATTCTATATACAATAGGATATTAGTAGCACGGGGATGAATTGTAGGGTCTTTGGTAGTATCTGAATTTGATTGCTTTTTTTGCAGACATTTAATTACCAAACTATGTAACATCACTGCTAGAATAGACAGCAAATTTGAATCCCTTCTAGTACTGACAATATTATCTAGTTTGGTAATAAAATATCTGCAAGGGAAGACACCAAGGATCCCAAAGTACATATAGACTGTTGCATAGGAACTAATCTAAATATATATAAATGGCTGTGTGTATGTATGCTCCAGCATAACTCTGGAATGCCTCAAGCAATTTCAACCGAACTTGGCACACATATTACTTACTCTCTGGAAACAAATATTATGGGGATAAGACAGCCCTAGCACCCCTCCGGAGGGGGCGTTCTGTTAAGATACAGATTGTTGAGCCTTCAAATGGTTTCTACTGTACTGCCTTAAAATGGCTTCTACTGTACAGCGCTGTGGAGTTGCCATGGTAACAGCTTCACGGTACTCCACAAGGGGACTCCCTCTGGTAAGGGGAAAATGCAACATTAGAAATTGCGGCGACATTCATGGAAGGAGGGTTAGGATAAAAAAATACCCGGGCAGCACCGGGTTGTCAGCTAATCAGAAATATTTTTAAAATGTGAAAGTGATTGTTAGTGACATTAGAAAAGAGTGGTTGAATGGTGTTTCTGCATCTGTGCTCCCCAAATTCTTGATTGCCACATGATGGACTCTTCTTACTCCACAGTGGTGGCTTTGAACGCAGTCTCGCTTTTTTAGAGTTAGTCTAAAAAGACAATTCCCTTTTATTAAAAAAAATCAAAGCCTTCCATGTGCACCAGCAGAAGAGAATTTATTTTGCAGAGAAAGCAGTTATCCCACATTTTCTCAAGACGAGCTCAGCATGGCACATCTAGTTCTCCCTTTTCTCATTTCGTATTCATAAAAAAATATCCCAAGGGAAGTGATGCTGGACATGAGGCAGATTTCTGGAAAAAGAAGAGTTTTTATGAAAATTGTAATTGAAACAAAGGAGGAAAATTCTGCTTATTGGAAGAATCCAAATTCAAATAATCTTAAAAGATATGCCTGCAGAAAAGGAGACCGTATCATTTCTCCAGGTCAATGCTTCAATGCTTCAACTGCTTTTTTACTCAGGAAGTTTGTTCTTCATTCAGCTGGAATCTTCCTTCCTATGACTGCAATCATGGTCACCTTTTACCTTCTTCTCAAGCTTGGTCAACTAGTCAGCTCGGTATTTCTCCAGATATGTTAGACTATGATTATTCTCGTCATGCAACCAATATAATTACATGGGTTGGGAAGTGTCAATCACAAGGAATCAGGAGCATAGTTAAGTTGCAGTTCAGAAGATAAGGGTCAACAGAATTCAAGAGGAGTTGGACTTAGATAATTTCTAGGAATGTAAGGACTCTATATGTAAGTGGCTGCGGTGGCTCAGTGGCTAAGATGCTGAAAAGGTCGGCAGTTCGGCAGTTCAAGTCCCTAGCGCCGTGTAATGGAGTGAGCTCCCATTACTTGTCCCAGCTTCTGCCAACGTAGCAGTTCAAAATCACGTAAAAATGCAAGTAGAAAAAATAGGAATCTCCTTTGGTGGGAAGGTAACAGCGTTACGTGTGCCTTCGCCCTTTAGTCATGCTGGCCACATGAAAAATGGGGACATCTTGGGAGAGCCCTAGCTCTTCAGCTTTGAAATGGAAATGAGCACTGCCCCCTAGAGTCGGGAACGACTAGCACGCATGTGCAAGGGAAACTTTTCTCTTTATCTTTAAGGACTCTAGGCTGATGACTCATTTAGCTTCATCTCCCCCTCCAGCTCTGTTTACTATTGTACAGGAAGGCTGCCATTACTAGTTCTGCTTGCATGGATCACTCTGCCCTTTGCAAGTGCTGATCCCCAGCAGAGGTGGGTTCCTACCAGTTCGCACCAGTTCAGTAGAACTGGTTCGTCAGATCTACCGAACCGGTTAGAAGAGGTTCCACCAGTGGACCCGGAAAGCAGGCCACACCTACAGAAGAGGTTCCAAAAAATTTTGAAACCCACCACTCACATACACACACACACACACACACAGACTCACACAGAGAGAGAAAGAGAAAGGAAGGAAGGAAGAAATAAAGAAAAAAAGAAAGAAAAAGTGAGAGATGAAAGAAAAAAAGGAAAAAGGGACAGATAGACAAAAGGAAAGAGAGAGCGAGAGAGAGAGAACACATGGCCGGCAAGCCACTCCCACCAGGTCACATGACCAGCAAGCCACTCCCACAAAGGAGGCCACACCTACATAGTCAGTTCGAAAATTTTTTGAAACCCACCACTGATCCCCGGGTTCCAGATCATATTATTGGTTCTACAAAGTTAAGGGAGGGGATGTGTTGGTTGGGTTCTAAACTATGGTTTAGGAAGTGGATCGATGCCTTTTTGCTAAAATCGTTCTGGGTGAATTAACAGCACTTTAATTTCTTCTGCTTTCCCCGTACAGTTTCTCAGTTATCTCAGTGCCTGCGACAGACTTCTGAAACAGGGTTACGATGAGGCCCAGGTTATAGAAGCCATGGAAATGTTCCAGAACTCGGAGAAAAAGGTGAGAGGCCAACTTCGGTTGAAAAGTTGACCAAATTCCTTTGCTTACAATGTGCTATCAGTCAAATGAACGGAAAAAAAAATATGGCTGTCTCCACCTGCGTGGGTTTTTTTTTTAATGTGTGCGAATGGTATTAGCAGTTGATAGAGAGCATAAAAACTAACACAAACTAATATGGAGAGCAAGAAAAGAAAAACAAAACACAATCAACTTAGAACATACAAGAAAATCAGCCTGACTACATTTGGGAAGAATTTCAACATCAATTTTTTTTTAAGAAGAAATGGCCTTTTGCCACAACGTTGGAAGGCAAAAGAGCATTTTTTCTAGCTAATTTTCAAAAGGCTTGTGAGTTGCTTTCAATGTCAGACTCTATGAAGACCTAAAGTTAAGTCCCAAAGGCGACTGGATTTTCTTGTCTTTTTTTTTTTAACTTTGAAAATGTTTTGCTTCTCATCCAAGAAGCTTCTTCGGCTCAGAAGAACCAAAGAAGCTTTTATTTAACAGACCCCCCCCCCAAAAAAGTCAACTTGGCTTTTGGCTCTTCTGATCTAAAGAAGCTTCTTTGAGACAATCCTGACCTGGATAGTTGAGTATCTCCATAGGCATCTAAAGGTAGTATTTTAGAAAATCTTGGAGAGGAGATCTACCGATAGGGCCGTTTTTGTTATCTTTCTTCTTTTCATCATTCCCCAAAAAAAAGTCAACTTGGCTTTTGGCTCTTCTGATCTAAAGAAGCTTCTTTGAGACAATCCTGACCTGGATAGTTGAGTATCTCCATAGGCATCTAAAGGTAGTATTTTAGAAAATCTTGGAGAGGAGATCTACCGATAGGGCCGTTTTTGTTATCTTTCTTCTTTTCATCATTCTGCAGACTCCCGGGTTGCCCACACTTTTCAAAGTGCAGAAGGTACCACAGGGCAACTACCAAAAAGCTCCTTATAATTGAACCATTGACTCATTGGCTAAGGCGTTGAGCTTGTCAATCAGAAAGGTCGGCAGTTCGAATCCCTAGCGCCCTGTAACAGAGTGAGCTCCCGTTACTTGTCCCAGCTTGTTTTTTCCTCTAGTGTGGAGATGAGTCAGTCTAGAAGTGATAGCCATGCTTGGAATACTGTGTCCAGTGCTGGTCACCATGATACAAAAAGGATGTTGAGACCCTAGGAAAAGTGCAGAGAAGAGCAACAAAGATGATCAGGAGTCTGGAGGCTAAACCATAAGATGGATGGATAAGGGGACTAGGTATATTTAGCTTATTGAAGAGAAGGCTCGGGGTGACATCTTCCAATAAATAAAGGGCTATTATAGGGAACGTAGGGTTGATGCATTCTCCAAAGCACCTGAAGGCAGGACAAGAAGAAATGGGTTGAAGATTCAACTGGTAATTAGGAGAAATTCCCTGATAGTTAGAACAATTAAGGGACGTGCTGGCTCAGTAGCTAAGATGCTGAGCTTGTCGATCACAAAGGTTGCCAGTTTGGTGGTTTGAATCCCTAGTGTCACGTAACAGAGTGAGCTCCCATTACTTGTCCCAGCTTCTGCCAACCTAGCAGTTCGAAAGCACATAAAAAATGCAAGTAGAAAAATAGGAACCACTTTTGGTGGGAAGGTAACAGCATTCCATGCTCTTTCGGCATTTAGTCATTCTGGGCACATGACCACGGAGACTTCTTTGGACAGCGCTGGCTCTTCGGCTTTGAAACGGAGATTAGCACCACCCCCTAGAGTTGGGAACGACTAGCACACACCTTTACCTTTACAAGCTAGCATGAATGACTTGTTGAGAATCCTGAAGGCTCTAGTCCTCATGATTTTATAAAACCGAGTTTTTTTATTTATGGGGGTTTCAGAGTACTCGTGGAAAGGCACTCTGCGTGCCCACAATAGTCTCATGGTTCCTGTGCTTCCTTCCCACTGCAGGCCTCAGAATTCCTCTGCCTCTTAGCCCAATTCAACGACATGGGCTTCCAACAAGCTGACATCAAAGAAGTCCTCCTTCTGTGTGAAAACCACCGAGATAGGGCCCTGGAGGAGCTCATGGCCCAAAGCCAATGACAGCGGCCCAGCATCCTCCCCTCCCCTCCCTTCCCCAAATGAGTCTGTAAATATTGTCCTCTCTCAAACCTTTATCTTATGAATCTCTTTAATCAGCCTTCGGAAAGCTCACCTTTGTGATTTGTTCTCATCTTTTCTTTTTAAAGCTCCTTGTTATTCAACCACTCCTGGATAAACATGGTCCATGTACAAGCCAGCACAAATGACTTGATTCGAGTTGGTTCCTATGGGGCCTGAAGGCTTTGTTTATTGTTATTATTATTATCAAGCATTTTAATAACATTTTAAAACGAGAACAACAAAAAAAGTAAGGAATAAATTCAGATAAGTGCAGTAGTAATCTTTCCTGGAAGGAACTATTAGAATAGAGCCGGAAGGGACCTTGGAGGTCTTCTAGACCAGTGTTTCTCAACCTTGGCAACTTGAAGATGTCTGGACTTCAATTCCCAGAATTCCCCAGCCAGCGAATGCTGGCTGGGGAATTCTGGGAGTTGAAGTCCAGACATCTTCAAGTTGCCAAGGTTGAGAAACACTGGTCTAGACCAACCCCCTGCTCCAGCAGAAGATCCTATACCATTTTCAGACAAATCACTATCCAGAGTCCTTAAAATCCTCCAGTGAAAAAGCACCAGAGGTGATTCGTACAAGTGCAACCATCTCCCTGTGATATTGATTATTCCACCAATATAGGTGAAATGGGATGCTTTGATTGATTGTATGTATTCATGAAATTTATATGCCACCTATCGCAACGATAAGGACACTCTGGATCCTGATCATTTAACAACATGGCGATATTTTTCAGTTTCTTGGGCAGCGCTCACACTGGGCACTTAATTTTGGTATTTAGAATCATAGGGCTAGGAAGGGACCTCAGAGGTCTTCTAGTCCAACCCCTTTCTCAAGGCAGGAAACCTTACACCATCCTGGTCAAATGGTTTCCCAGTCTATTGTT